ACATGGGGGGGGGGGGGTCTTGGCGCAGAACTCAGCAGGAAGCGCGGCGCGGTAGCGAGTGTCACTAGTGCGGAGGTGCGTAATGAGGTCAGCGACTGTGGGAAAGGCAGCAAGGTCAGGAAAGAGGTAAGGTAGCATGAGGCGGCTCAGTGCAGCGGTGGCAGGGGAGGAGTAGCGTGCAACGACAGCGTCGTACAAGGTCTGAGCACTCTTGTACTGACTAAAGTGCGCGCGCTCAGTGGTAGGCAGGTGGCGACGCACAGCGAGACGTGCAGCAGCATCGCGAGTGGCCCATTGGGAGCGAACAGTGGCGTCGGCATCGGCAGCAGGGGCAGGGGAAGCACCAGAGGTGAGGTCAAAGAGGGAAAGACCGTCTGCCCTATCGCACTGTAGGAAAAGCTGCAGGTCATCCACCCAAACCTCAAAGTCAATGGCTCGACCCTCAGCGTCAAAAGCGAGAACACTGGGGGTAGCCATGACAACAGTGGACTAGCAGTACCAACTGTAGGACAGGGGCAGTGCAGGGACAGAAGCGCTGCTCTCACCAGGCAGGGCGGGTCGGGCAGCTCAGCGGTACAGCAGCACGGCAACACGGCTGCTCGGACGGCACTGCAGCAACTGCGGCTCCGTGGCACCAGCGGCTCGGCTCCTCAGGCGGCTCGGGCGGCTCAGGCGGCTCGGGTGGCTCGGGCGGCTCGGGCGGCTCGGGCGGCTCGTGCTGGTCGGGCGGCTCGGGCGGCTCAGGAGAGTCGGGCGGCTTGGGCGGCTCGGGCAGCTCGGGCAGGTCAGGCGGCTCGGGCGGCGCGGGCGGTGTAGGGCGGCAGGGCCGCTGGTGCAAGGGGCGGCTGGGCCACTGAGAAGGGCGGCGAGGCCGCTGCGGAAGGGCGGCGGGGCCGCTGAGTAGGGCGGCGGGGCCGCTGAGTAGGGCGGCGGGGCCGCTGAGGAGAAGGGCGGCAGGGCCGCTGAGTAGGGCGGCGGGGCCGCTGAGGAGAAGGGCGGCGGGGCCGCTGAGGAGAAGGGCGGCGGGGCCGCTGAGTAGGGCGGCGGGGCCGCTGAGGAGAAGGGCGGCGGGGCCGCTGAGTAGGGCGGCGGGGCCGCTGAGGAGGAGGGCGGCGGGGCCGCTGAGCAGGGCGGCGGGGCCGCGGAGGAGAAGGGCGGCGGGGCCGTTGAGTAGGGCGGCGGGGCCGCTGAGGAGAAGGGCGGCGGGGCCGCTGAGTAGGGCGGCGGGGCCGCTGAGGAGAAGGGCGGCGGGGCCGCTGAGTAGGGCGGCGGGGCCGCTGAGGAGAAGGGCGGCGGGGCCGCTGAGTAGGGCGGCGGGGCCGCTGAGTAGGGCGGCGGGGCCGCTGAGGAGAAGGGCGGCAGGGCCGCTGAGTAGGGCGGCGGGGCCGCTGAGGAGAAGGGGGGCGGGGCCGCTAAGTAGGGGCGGGGCCGCAGCGACGGGCGGCGAGGCCGCGGAGACGGGCGGCGGGGCCGCGATGCGGGGTGACGGGGCCGCTGTGACGGGCGGCGGGGCCGCACTAAAGGGCGGCGGGGCCGAAACGAAGGGCCGCGGGGCCGCTAGGGGAAGGGGCCGCTAGGGCGTAGGGGGCCGCGAGGGCGGCTCGGCGAGGTGAGAGCCCGGAGCGCGACTCGGGCGGAGCGCGCTTCGGGCAGGAGAGAATTTTTTTTTTTTTTTGAAACTCGATGTGGTGGGCCCTAGGCACAGTTCCCAAGGGGGAACCTGCTCGATACCATGAGAAAAGTACAACGAGAATGAGATGACTAAGGAATGGAAGTGATACAAATATGCAACCCTAGAAATGTGTACCCCATATGGGCTACCCCACTATAGCCTACACAATATTATAATTTGACATCAGCCACGAACACAAGGCGTGGATCATCCTGGATCTCCTAAGCCAGAAAATCAAGAATGCGCACGATGTCATCTTCTACGAGCGACTGTTTCTGCAACAATTTTGTGACGACGAGCAGACGAATGCAAACCGCGTCTACGCCAACGAGGGCCACAGCTACGCTTCACCTGAGGACGAAGCAACAGCGGCAATTCTGGAGCAGGATCCCAGAGCCGAGTTCACAAGGGGCGATCGCCGCGACGACGACGACGATGATTCAGGTGAAGGAGGAACAGGCGCAACAGGAGGAGGCGCAGCAGGAGGAAGCAAAACCGGCGGAGACACAGCACCGCCAGCACCGCCTGAACCAGAAAGCGATGATGACGACGTGGAGGAAGTCGTCACTCAACATCACCACGACAGCACTGTCACCGGTCTCCAGCTACTTGGACTACACGCTGCCATCTCCACTGCTCCGCGCATCATCGAACCTAAGAACCCATGGCAAGCTCTCACAGGCCCACGTAGTCCCTCTATGGGATCAAACAGGCACCGAGACTCTGGCAGCAGTACCTGCACAACATACTGCTTGAAATCGGGTTCAAGTAGCTGCCTCACGATCCTGGAATGTATCGCCGCGATTTCCGCGGCGAATACATCCTCCTCACGGTCTACGTCGACGACCTTCTCTACACAGGCTCAAGCAACGAACTGCTCGAGCAATTTGAGAGAAGCCTCGCAGGGAAGCAGTTTCTCGGACTCAACATCACCTACTCGCCGGAAGCCATTCATCTCTCAGCAGCGAAGTATGCGGAGGAGCTTAGCAAGCGCTTCAACATTGCGCCTGCACCACTCTCCACCCCTTACCACACTCCAGGAACCAACCACAAGCCTGACAACAAAGCCCTGTCCCCTGCTGGGCTTCACACTTACCAGCAGCTGTTGGGATGCCTGCTATTCGCATCTGTTACCTGCAGGCCCGACCTCTCCTACATTGCGAGCCAGTTGGCTCAGTACTCACGCAAACCAACGGTTGAGAATCTCTCAGATCTTCAGCGAGCCCTTCAATTCTTCATCTCCACGCCCAGTGTCGGGCTCAATTATTCCACCATCCCAACCACATCCTTCAGCCTCGTCGGCTACGTGGATGCCGATCACGCCGCTGACCCTGACAATCGACGGTCCAGGACAGGGTTCCTCTTCCGCCTCGAGCCCAGCGGCCCCATCTCCTAGAACTCTCAGAAGCAGGAGTTGGTTGCCCTGTCATCGGCGGAAGCTGAATTTATCGCAGCAACAGCAGCTGTTCGCGAAGGTCTCTACCTTCAGGAACTGCTGCAGGAAGCAAAAATTCCGGCCTCAACGAACTTTCGCCTGCACTGCGACAATCAGAGCGCGATCAGGATCGCGAACAAACCTGGTTTCGTCAACCGCACCAAGCACATCGCACTGCGGTACTTCTTCGTCAAGGACGAAGTTGACAAAGGCAAAGTTGACCTGAATACCCGTAAACTCCCGGACAAAACACCCCCCCATAATTGTACACCCCCGGGTAGCTTGTGCGGGGTGGGTGTTATGATAGACCTCGTTTCTACTATACCCCCCTTTTTGGCTGATTTTTTATATCACCCCCCTTTTCTTACGGATTCATTATTACGGTATAGTCGTTAACGAGTAGCTGCAATACGGAAGAATATCGTGTGAATTTCTCCCTCAATGAAATTTCGCGGTACATTCAAAGGCAATCTGCCGAGATTTGCCCCCTCCCACTATTTCTCTGATGCCACGTGCAGGTGAATCTTCCGTTGCAAGTGGCAAGAGAGGTGTCACATGGCATTTTCGTGAGGGCGATGAAGTTCGAGGCCGAAACTGACATTCGCGCCTCAGGCAGTGATGCTAAAACGACCAGCAAAACACCCACATTGACTAATTAAAAAAACACTAACACTAAAATATGCCATATGTAAAGACCCGGGTATTATGTATTTTTTTCCTATGAGGAGACCCCCCCCCATTTTTTCCCTGTATTTTTAGCTATACCCTAGGGTGTTATGTCCGGGAGAATACGGTACTGCCCAACGGGTGACATGGCAGCAGACTTCCTCACGAAGAGATTGCCGCGTCAGCAGTACCAGCACTACTCCGAACTCAGCGGGGTAGTCAAGCGGGTCAATGCTCGCTACGGCCAGGAGTGAAGGGGGGTGTTACGAATAGTGGTTAATGAAAAACTCTGTTGCGCACTCCTCACCGTAGCAAAGCCGAAGCACGCATTATTGAGAGTGAAGACGAAAAGGCAGAAGAAAGGCGAAGGGACAGACGGTTACGAGGAGCATCTGGACCGTCGGGCAGACAGCATCAGGCAGCAGCAGTGGCGAGGATTCTGCCCGAACAGTTACGTAACCACTTGGAGTCGCACGGTTGGATTTCGCTGCAATAAGGGAATGTACCCCTTAGAGTACATGGCTAGTTAGGTCGTTTCGAATTCCCTTGTACTCATATTTATACGGTATTCCTTGTACTGCACGTTTTTATTATCTCAAGCATTTACATTCACTCTGCTATTGAGGTCAAGGGCCCACCACCGCTAGACTAGAGTTGTGCAAACCTTCCTGAGGTGATCCTAGTTACGATCACTTTCTGATTTCAACACAAGTAGGTTAGACTAAACTAGCCCTCTTTGCCATGTTGTTAAGATATTATTTTACTCATCACTGATGGATAAAGCAGATCCATGATGTACTGCACCCCATCATCAGGCAGAGTGCCAACTACGAAAAGCCACCCGTTGCTAACCGTAGAACTTGTTCATGAACTCCACCAAGCTCAGCCTGAAAGCGTGCAGGACGGGCCAACTGACTCAACCCTCCTAATCCCCCGACTCCTAATCCTCCTCATCAGGCAGAGAGGCGAATGCAAGGGCTCAAACTTGTACCCATCTCCAACACAAAACTTCATCCAATGCAGCCTGAGCGCATGCAGGACGGGTTGACTGTTTCAACCCTTCTCCTAATCCCCCGACTCCTAGTCCTCATCACGAAGAGAGGCAAACACAAAAGGCACAAACTGGTACCCATCGCCGACATAGAACTTGTCCATAAACTCCACCCAGTGCAGCCCGAGCACACACAGACCAGACTGACTGCCTCGCCCCTACTAATCGCCCAACTCCTAGTCCTCCTCATCAGGCAGAGAGGCAAACGCAAAGGGCACAAACTGGTAGCCATCGCCGACATAGAACTTGTTCATGAACTCCACCCAGTGCAGCCTGAGCGCGTGCAGGAAAGCACTGAGTGTCTCCATGAGCAGCAGCACACCCACTGTGGCTGCTGCAAAGACCAATGAACCAATCAGAATGGCCAACACGTTGCCAGAGCTGCAAGGAGAACATGAGATGCCGTGTTGGAGACGATGGGAAGATGGGCGAAGGGGGGTAGAGAGGGGTTGGAGGCGAAGCGGAGAGTGGGGAGGAAGGGGGGGATGGGGGCGGGGGGAGGAAAGGAGGGGGGCTGAGGCTAATAGAGTACAAGGACAGGGAAAGATCCCATCGGAGGGACAAAAAATCAAGGAAGGCTGAGGCAGATCGATCATAAATGCAGGCCCATGTGACGTGCATGTATGTGAAGAAAATGGAAACAAGGCAGTGAGCACACACCCATTTTAGGACAACTAGCGATGGGATGGACGGCGATCACGGGACGGCACCGATGGGACAATAGAGAGGGGCGGCTCAAGAGGGAGAGGCAGCAACGCATATGCTATAACGTACGCGAGGGCGGGTTCCAAAACTCGCTCGTAGAAGACCGCTGAGAGCTGCGCGTGCGCCAGGCTGCAGACAGAGGCCAGAGCGCGAGTGGGAACAGAGATCCTGAGCTTATGAGAGCAATTCATTACATGAGGCGGATCAACCCGAAACTTGCTTGCCCGTGCATGCCCGTGCTGTGTAGGAGAGAACAATTTTAATACAGTGATTCGGAAGGATCGAACCAAGACTATTAGAAGATGGCTGAAAGCGTAGGGTGTGCAGGAGAGCAGACATGAGGGCGAGTGGGGGCAGGTACGGGATGGGGAAGGCGAGTGTGCTCTTGATGTCACGCGCACGACATGCACTGCCAATGCCACGATAAGACGATTCACCTGAGACAATTCTTCCGACCCGATAAAACCCAAATCCACACAAAACAAATGATTTAAGAAGGTTCACCTGAGCGCCCAGAGACGCAGGTAGGATGCAGTGTTGGAGACAGCCCCAAGCACAAACTCGATGCAGTGAATCATCTGATGCACCATCACCTCCCCAAACTCAAACTCCTCCTCGCCCTCTCCCTCCTCCCCGTTCGCCCCCGCCTCGCCCTCGCTGCCTGGCAGCGCGTGGTATGTGCGCCCCGCCATCTTCTGGCAGGGGGATTGGGTGGGGGAGGCGGAGAGGGAGGGGGAGGGGGAGGGGGAGGGGGAGCGGGAGGGGGAGGGGGGGGAGGAGGAGGAAGGGGAGGGGGAAAGGGAGGGAGAGCGGGAGGGGGAGAGGGAGGGGGAGAAAGGGTGAACAGAGGGTGTTTAGGTGCACCCTGTCATCTTCTGGGGGGGGAAGTGGCTGAACGCATGTTATGGGCTGCACTGCAGACATTGATGGAGTTGGACACATTGACGAGTGGTGCTGGTATGGTTGACAACAAATCCACCATCAAAACCGTGTTGGCTGGGTGAAAAACAAGCGTGCGAGAACGTAATTGGAAGCAGGGTATTGCTGGCGGGCAAGCGCAGTGTGTGTGTGCCTCACGGTATGAGGCAAGCGGGGAGGGGGAGGGAGGGGTGGTGGTGGGTTGGGGTGGAAAGGGGGGGAGGTGTAGGACGATGGGGATAGGGCGACAAGTTACCCCCATGTGTTGCTCTCTTCCCTCACCCCACCGATCTCTCTTTTCCCTCACCCCATCGCTCTCTTTCCTCACCCCATCCCTCTCTTCCCTCACCCCATCGCTCCCTCACCCGCATTCCTCTCTCCCCTTCCCCCTTCCCCCTCCCCCCCTGCTCCCCCCCCCCCCCCGCCCAATCCCCAACGCTCTCTTCCTTGAATCGGCCCCATGCGCCTCGCGCTTTCGCTCGGCCCTCACCTGGATGTGCTGCGCGCGGAGGATGAGGGGCTTGGGCAGCAGCATCCACGGCACCGCAATGAGCGCGATGAAGAGCAGCACAATCTGCCACACACGCATACACACACACACACACACACGCACACACGCACACACGCACGCACGCACGCGCACACGCGCGCGCGCGCACGCGCACGCACACGCACACGCACACAGACACAATACACACACACACACACACACACACACACACACACACACACACACACACACACACACACACACACGCACGCACGCACGCACACACGCACACGCACGCACACACGCACACACGCACACACGCACACACTCACACACTCACACACTCACACACTCACACACACACGCACGCACGCACACACACACACACACACACACACACACACACACACACACACACACACAGCAACACACATGCATGCACGTCACGCCACCCATGTATGCACACACGCATGCATGCGAAATGCACACACAAGGCAGGGGGGGCGATTGGACCCAACACAAAAATTTTAAAGCCATGGGAAGGCCAGGGAGCATGTGCACACTTGCCTGACCTGCACTCTCACACCAGCCACATGTCCCATTCATGCCATTTGGCCGTGCTCACAGAATCACATGCCTTCATTCACTCACACCTACCCTCTCTCACATTATCACATACTCTCACTCACTCACACTACATGCCCCTCACTCTCCACCAGACACTTGCTCTCGCCTTCACAATACTTCAGCTCAGCAGGCTCTCACCCTACAGGTCCGCCTGGGAGCTTTGAGACGTCTCAAAACTTTGAAGACGTCTCAAAACTTTGGAGACGTCTCAAAACTCTCCACCAGACACTGCCTCTGGCCTTCACAATAGTTCAACACAGCAGGCTCTCACCCTACAGGTCCGCCTGGGAGATGCAATGTCCTCCCTTGCATTCATTCTGACCGCCTCAGCGCACTTGCCCTGCTTTGCACTCTCCTGCACTTAACCCCTTTGGCTCAAAAGCACTGCTCTGGGCTAATCTACATTCCATCGATCCATCTATCCTCTCACCTGCACGGTGCTGGCCTCACCTGAACAGTGCCCTGGCCGTAGAACAGCTCGTTATCCCCAAGCGGCTCGACGGGGTTGAGGAACATGTAGATCATGACGTGGTACAGGTCCGCCTGGGAGCCCGTGACCCACTTGAGGATGATGAGCATGGAGAGGTAGCCGAAGAGTGAGCCCAGGAAGAGCATCTGCGGGATGAACTCGTACCTGCGAGGAAGGTGGGGTGGAGGGGAAGGGAAGGGGGGGACGAGGAACGAAGAAGTTGGGGAAGGGGAGGAAAAAGGGTGAGAGAACAGGGGTGGTTTGTGAGGAAACACAGACAGTGCATGAGCATGGACAGGTAGCCGAAGAGCGAGCCCAGGAAGAGCATCTGCGGGATGAACTCGTACCTGCGGGGGGAGAAGAAGAGGGGGGAGGGGGAGGGGAGGGAGGATGGAAGGAGGGGGGGGGGGGGAGGGGGGGTGCAGTGGAAAAGGGCGAGAGACTGGAGTGAGATAACTGAAATGGCAGATGAGCATTGACAGGAAGCCAAAGAGCGAGCCCAGGAAGAGCATCTGGGGGTTGAACTCGTACCTGCGGGGGGGAGGAGAGTGGGTGGAGGAGGGAGGGAGAGGGTGAGGGAGGAGGGAAGGGAGAAGGGCGAGAGCATGGGGAGCTGTGGGAGGCACCTCAGTCAGCACATGAGCAGTGAGAGGTAGCTGACGAGTGAAATGTTTCAAAGCATGGAAAATGTGGAGAGATGATTCACCTTGGTGTGCCGACCGAAAGCTATTCATATTCACTAAAAGCCGCTGCTAATACCAGCCGCATACCGCTAACTTCAACGCCGTGCCCCTAGAACCAATCAAATGGTACTGGCACTGACCAGATGTTGAGGGGCTTCTTGAAAAACTGGGCGTTGAAGAAGGAGAGGATGATGCCGGCAAACATCTGGGTGACGCCGAGGATGATGCTCATCTTCATCTTGAGAGAGTTGAGGAACGGTAGCTCCGTGCGCGACCCCTTCCACGCCGGGTCCACCCCAAACAGGTACGTCGGCCCGTCCTTAACCAGCCCTGCCGTGCCCGAGTCACTGAGAAGGGGATTGGGCAGGTGAGGGGAACCAGAGATTTCAAAGATGTGAGGATCGGCAGGTGGGGCGGGACCCCTTCCATTCGGGATCGCAAAAAGCGGTAAGTCGCTCCGTCCTTCTCACAATGATGCAGGCACAGATACAAGAACAGATTATGCAGGCACTGAACGCGAGGCATGAGCCCAAGAGGAAGAGAGATAAGGGAGGGAAGGAAGAGACGAGGGGGAATAGAGGTAAGGGAGAGAAGTGAGGGAAGGGAGGGAAGAGAGCAGAGGAGAGGGAGTGGAGGGAAGAAAGGGAGACTATGGAATGTATGGAAGGGGAATGGGCGGGGGAAAATCGACGGGAAGGGAGAAGAGACGGGGGGCTTGGGGAATCAACTGGCAGACAGGCGTAGGGCGGTGGTAGGGCGGGTAGGGAAGGAATGGAGCTGGGGAAGGAATGAAGGCGAAGCGAGGGAACGGAGGGGCAGAGAGAGCAGGAGCACTGACTGGCAGTCGGGCGTGCGGCAGTGGTAGGCGGTGCCGCCAAAGAGGGAGAAGTCAAAGGCGAGGGAGAAGAACTCGTTGTAGATGAAGCCGGTGTAGATGGAGAAGATGGACATGAGCAGAATCACGTAGCGCCCACCAAACGCCATCTCCGTTATGTCGTCCAGCTTCTGCATGGGGGGAGGTGGGCAGGAAGTGCACAGGGGGCGGGTAGGGGGGATGCAATGGCACAGAATGAGACAGAATGACATAGGGCCCTCCGTACGCCATCTCCGTTTTGTCGCAGGCAGTGGCACAGGAGGCGAGTGGGGGAGGGGGGGGGTGGAGATGCAGTGGCAAAGGCGAGGGAGAAGAACTCGTTGTAGATGAAGCCAGTGTAGATGGAGAAGATGGACATGAGCAGAATCACGTAGCGCCCTCCAAACGCCATCTCTGTGATGTCGTCCAGCTTCTGTAAGAGGGCCAGGCAGGGGGGTAGGCAGTGGCACAGGGGGCGGGTGTGGGGGCAGGCAGTGGCACAGGAGGCAGGCACAGGAGGCGGGCGGGTGGGGATGAAGCCGGTGTAGATGGAGAAGTTGGACATGATCAGGATCGCGTAGCGGCCCCCGAACGCCATCTCTGTGATGTCGTCCAGCTTCTGTAAGAGGACAAGAAAACAAGCAGTGCACAGGAAGGTGGGGGGTGAAGAAAGTGGTTCGGTGAACTTAGGGCACGATAGGAAGAAGAAATCTCCTTAGCAAGAAAATGGTACAAGTCTTAAAAACTAGAGCAAGGTCCTTGTCAAGGATGATTC